CTTCTAAGTAATTTGTATGGTATGTTCGAAATAATCGTAGGCATATTTTTAAGGTTTTTGGGGCTTGTGAGGTTGGGGTTCTGAATAGTCTCCCAATAGTTTCAATTCTGTTTCTATGAAAAGTTGGGGCTCCTCGAGTATTCGGGTATGTATTCTATAGGCCCCAATGTTCTCGCAAATCTCTGATAATGGCATGTAATCTGGAAAAATGTCTAAATTGGGACACATTTAATGGTCTTCAAAAACGCGCATAGTGGTTTCCGTCGAAAAATGCGGCGCTTAGGAGATATATGTAGTGCAAAAACTGAAAGAAGTCCAAAAATTTCTCGGTTTGTCGTATGCTACACTCTTTCCATAACTTTTAGAGAGTTGCAAACTCCCACAATGGCTCCAAACAACATACTAAAAAAATCAGAAATAGGTGCATAATGTTTTGCGAATTTAGGAATTTTTGTGTCGATTTTGACTGACATAAAAGTTTTAGAACTTTCGAGGAGCTCTGTCTATAGTATGAACCCCAATACTTGTTAAGAATTACGAAATTCAAACAACTTGTCTTTGGGAGATTGGAGAGAAAAAGTTCACTTTTGGCACAAGGAAGCTTCCTAAAGTTGGTATATATCAAAGATAAATTAAAAGTATTTGTGGAGACGAGAAATTTTGCGCAAAATAAACACGTCTACAAAACGAAAGGATTAGAGACGAAAATAACGTTTGCATCATAATCACCTTTACACTTCGGGCCATGAATTTCATCCTACGCGAGACGTGTCAAAAAAACGGCAAAATTTTATCATTCTTGCGAATAAATTTCCCTCTAATAAACTGAGAGCGTAAAGGAACGAGTACAAAGAGGATTACGCTCATGTAATGGACCTAATCAAAGTCGACAAACATGAATTTACGGTTTTCGGTCGGTTCAATTTGTTAAAATCCGTGAGAATTCGCAAAAAAGTGTTGCAATAAAGATCATTATGTAACCGTTTACAATCTCGTTTGAATTGACCACCGAGGAGCTATGAATAACTGCGGTGATTAATACTGGAAGATGGACGTTTTTGTTCATCTTACTGTACAAGTAAGTGGACTTGAGCCGTTAAGAGTAATAAAAATGATACAAAGAGTGCAATTGATGAAAAACGGTCGTAAAATCTTTAATAATACAGAAAAACGATACTTGAGCCATACGCGACCGTGTAGTAAAGTATAGTGTAATGGTAAATTACGTAGATCTAGACGACAAAGTAAGCCTGTAATAAATTTCGGAATACTCTTCGAAATGAAGCAATCACCAACCGAGAAGTTAGCAACAAATTTGCGTGTTTAGTGACAGGTTTCCAATAATTTTTCAGCAAAAAATATGCATCAGTAACGTATCCTAACCTATAGTCACAGTGAACAATTTCGTTTTGAGTTTATTAGATTACATGTTATATAATAGGGTAGATTAAAGGAATTGTAAGACGTCCTGATCTAAATTCTGTCGCCCAATATGTTATAGGTTTGCATATTTTGGCATATTTATTGCTAACTTTACGCGAGTATCAGGTTTTATAGTGCTGCATAGTATAAAGACAAAGATATTAAAAAGTCTGGAAATGAGTGAAGTGATCTTTTCAAATTGCACTCAGGTTTCCTGATCTTCACCTCAAGTTCCTCTCACATTTAGTTTAACCTTTCCTTAATCGCCATCCATGTTCATCTTAAGCTGTTATCAAGTCCTCAGAAAATATTCTATAAGTTCATTTAAAATTTTTGTTAAGCTTCTATTAATTTTCTCTTTAATGCCCTCAAGCTTTATTCTATTTGTTCTTTAGGTTCCTCTGAAATTCTGTTCTCTAGTTGCTCTTATTTTCGTAATCTTCACCGTAAGTTTCTCTCACGTTTGTCCTAAACTTGATCCTAAGTTTTTATCACGTTCATGTTCCCCACAAATTCCGCTAATTTCCAATTTTCCGAGTTCTTCAAACGCCGCTTTCAAGTTCTTCCTGTTGATATGTTCGTTCCATTCTTTCTTTACTTTCTGCACCCAGTTATTAATATCTTCTATACGTCATGTCATGTGTGTGTCTTATATTTTCGCTTCTCTCTATGTTCAGCAGTGCTTTCCCAGCTATACTACGAAGGACCTTCATTTATGTAGTTTCTAGCAGTCTTCATGGTTCATTGGTTTTGGATGATTCTGGCCTAGGTTCTGCCATGTACGTCATGGTAGGCCTTATAGCAGTTTTATATATCCTTGAATTTGCTTCAATTCCTATGTTTTTGTTGCGGAATATTGTGTTATTTAGGCATCCTGCTACTTTTGTTACTCTTGTGACTTGTTCCCTTACCCCTGCTTCAGCATTACCACGAACTGATACCTATGACAGTCGTTGGAGACGTGTCTTCATTTTCGGCAATTAACACTGCGTCGTCAGCATAACATAATATATTAATTTCATTCTCTCCCATTTTATAGCCTTTCATTGTACGTACCCTCCTTATTAACTCGGAATCACCAACCATCAAATTAAAACGTGATAGGTTATTCGCGATTTCTATTAACGGGAGTGTGTAGTAATGACCATTACACGCTTCCTATTGTAAAATACGCAATACTTCAACATCAGATTAAAAGTGTACACATTGCAATTTTGCAACAAATGAAGCACATATTATTATTCTGTAGCGACATATCTTAAGACACAAATTTCAAAGGAGTTAACGCACAGTGTGATTATGCAACACATCACCACCATGTCCTGAAACGTCATCTCTTAACTTACACAACCTCAAATGATTTAAAATGTGCACACTGTAATAGCATTATATGACAATTTGGCCAATGTCTATGTACCCGTATATATGAGATTATAGGCCATTAAACGTTACAAAACACTTTCCGAAATTCCCATGGGAACGGGAACAGGAAACATCAGGATTTTATGTTTTACAGTCTAAAACATTTAGAACGTAGGTTATTTTGAAGGCGTTAAGGAGTGCGCCCAAAGAACTTCCCACGGGAACGGGTTGCAGGGTAGATTTCCCAAAGACGGTACGAAGTTCGCCGGGATTGCTAGTAGTTAAAAGTCCAGGAAATTAGAATTTTTCTTTAGCAATTTTTTTGCTGCCGAGCATGAATTCGGCCAATTATTCCATAATCCCTACAACAAATCGGTAGTGGGAGGGGGGTTAGTTCGGTCAATAAATGTACAAAATTTACGCCAATAGAAGTGGCGAGGGAAGTGGTTAACGAGATTCACTAAGAAAATGGTAAATTAAACATTAAAATAAAAAAATAGTGCACCCCCCTGTGGGTTCGGGGTTAGAATTGTCCCACGGTAGTCTCTGCCTGTCGTAAGAGGCGACTAAAAGAGATCCTTATAATGAAGTCGATAACAAAGTTTTACTTTTTTTAACCTTAAGGTAAAGAAATAGTGATAATCAGAGAGACTTTCATTAGTGGAACTTAATAAGAACTTCGCGGAGTGTGCTCAGGACCCTAGTTACGCAATTCTGTAAACAGAGGGATAATTTATTTATTATTTTACTTCATAAAGTAACCTACTGTTTACCACTTTTTCCTTGGAGGGAGTTATGATGTGGTTTTTTTTGGCCACAGGATGTATAATGTCGTTTTTCTTTTAATTTCACTGTATTGAGGAGATGCCTTAATTCTAGGAACTTTTTTTTAGTATTCATCAAAAACTCTGTAACGTGGAGAGCCCTCGTAACTTAAATTACAATTACAGAATTGTGTAGGTGTATATTTAAGTTCGGTTAATTCCGAGGTTAATTCCATATAACGATTTCTTATAGTTATACTGTTAGTACATTTTTCATTGAGGGAAAGTTATTGCGATGTGGTTTTTTGCTGGAACATGAACCAAGGAAAATCTTTGCGATGAATGTGCGCATGCGTAGGCTTCACAATATCAACTTTTTGGTGAATTAATGTATTTTCTTGAAATTTTAACCACAGATACTTAAAGGCAAACAAACATCGCGTATAGTAAAAATCAGATGTGCGCATGCGCAGCCTTTTTATTTATGGAGATACTGTTACACATTTTAACTAAAGACGCTTCTCGTAAAGGTAAACATATCGGATATTGTAAACATTAGTAGTGCGCATCCGCACAGTCACGTTATAGACATTTCTTAGACATTTTAACCATAGCTGCTTTTAATAAAGCATAGCCCACATAGCTTTGCGTGGAATGAATGGAAATGCGCTAAACTTACTCGCCTTAGGACGAAAACCTTTTTACTTGTTTCATTTACTGGGTTGAATGAGATCCCTTAATTATTATTTAAGTTAGAAATTCAGAGCTGTAATTCCGACCACGAAGGCGGTAATTTAATTTGATTTTTATTAGCATTTCTCACAGCAGTGGCGGAATGAATTGTTAATAAAAATCTCATCCAGCAGTCGTTTGTTTAACAATGGCGATTTTTTCTTCGTGTACGTATGATACTCGATAAAGATTTAAAAGTAAAGTTCACTTTGTGTTTCGTTCCGTGTCAAAAAGCGTAAGTCTATTTGAACAGTTCAGTCTGAACTATCGAGGGTGCTTAATAATAATTTTTGTCAGGCTATCTGAAGTGCCTACCTCAGTTTGCTCGAAGGCGCCCTAAACAAGAACTTTATCCCCCTTGTATAATGCAGTCGATATCGATAAAAGTAACATTGGAAATATAGATGGAAAAAGGGAAATTGCTCTCACAACTGCCTTCAATTTACAATCCACCTACACGCGTACGCTACAAAACTGAGTTACAATAAAATCTTGATCGCTCTCCAATTTAGAGGCGAAAAAAAACACGAAATTTATAACTTACCTACATCGTAAACTCACTTCCTGTATAAGTCAGGGTCAAATGTAACAACCCTTCGATCCCTCAAGTGTAGGAGGCTTAATTTTTACTTTTGACTCTTGCTCTTCGGGTTTAAAGCGATGACAAAACCCATATTTCTCCCCCGAAAGGCCATTACATTAATTCGCACTTAATTTCAGATTTGACGACGACAACCAGGTGATGCTGGGTAGTCCAGCCGGGCCTGGGGGAGCCTCCCAGAGGGGACTCTGGCCCTTAGCTCCCGCTCCAGCGCCCCCCATCTCCAGCTTTACGACCGACGGTAAGTTTTTTTCCGAATTTAAATTTAAGCAAAAATGTTTAGCGGCGGTAAGTAGATATTTTTAAATTAAAACGACCTGCTGGGGTGTGTTATTACTATGATTAAAGCTTTTTCAAGTTTAAACAAACAATCCTTTGTGTTTTTCGTTTTATGCTTATTTGTGAAGTAATTTAATGCAGTTTCGTAAAGGTGTGTATTTTTAGCGACGTCATCGTTCGGAAAAAAAGTGGATCTTTGTAATCAAGTTAGTCGCCTACGGGCTCTTCGTCTCCACCCCCTACCTTCTCGAGATAGCTAAGTGCAGAAATTACGTTATGCGTTGTCGGGGCAACTGTAATTCTTATATCCCCCAGTCAGCTTTATTAATGCGGGTGATCTCTGGGAATAAAAAGCGTTTCTATTTCGTGCAAGCAAAATCTACCGCAAAAGTGCAAACGTTTCCTTTTCCAATACCTGTCGATTCATGTTAATAAAGAAGTTCAATGGCAGTCGGGAAGCTGAGGTATACCAAAGAGTCATTATTAGTTTTACCGAATCTTCATAGTGGGAGCGGCCCGTGAAAACAAACGGCATTTCGTATTAAAATTGTGCCACTTGGAACACATGTTCCCTAGACCTATTGGAGTGATTTGAGTCGCAGAGCCGGAAGTTCCGTCCTTTAGGATTGAAAATGGCGCCAATTTTCAAAATTGAGGCGAATTTCAGGAAATATCTATTTTTAGAGCGATTTTTACGTTTAGGGTGACGTTTACGAGGTTTCCGAGGGTGAAAACGACAAAAACAATATCCGAAGCTAATTTCTGTGTGGGAAGCATGATTTTATGATATCTTTAACGTCCGACAGGATTCGAAAGTTTCTTGGAAAGTTTGACCGATTTTCGTGGTTGAGGTGGCGTTTTTGCGATTCTTTTGGGTGAAGATTACCAAAAAAGACCCATTAAAGACCTTTTTCGATATCCAAAGTAGGCATTTGCGCTCCTATTTGACAACGCAAACGTCATATTTTTCGAGGAATGTCAATAAAAAAACGCTCGCTCCCCAAATTATAAACTATAAATCAAATGTGCATTGCTCAGAGTACCCAATGACAACGAGTAATAGACATCTTTCATTTGGGCATAAGATTAAAATAATAATCCATATTTGAGTGAAAAATTTAAATTTATGGAAATGTGTGAACTGCTCGCTTGTAGAAAAAATCTTGTGTGTAATTCGAGCCCAAATTGATTGTTGATTTCAAGAGATTAGCGCGGAAAATGTCTCTTTCAATCGACAATATATCATTTTGCGCTCTTAATACACAAATAGCTATTTTTTATGAATTTTTAAGTATTTTGAATAAACAGGTCGAGGTAAACTAACTGCAAAGGTGAAACTTGTTCATCGAATTCGATTTTTAACTAAAAATTGTTGATTATTGAAACATATTTACAAGTAAAAAGTCATAACCATAAGTCATCAAAGGGGAATGCCTCATTGCTCAGATCTCCTGTTGCAGTCGAGATATAAAAAAATATTTAGTTAAGATCATTAAAAATAAAATCTGACAGTCATGTTTATAAAATAAGCATGTACATTTTTGCAGTGTTCTTAACAGTTAGACTGTAGGGTGCACGGAAGGCTGTTTCGCAAGTATGAAGAACTTATTGTCTCACAAGTTCACTAGCAGCCGCATTTCCTTAGGATTGTGAGCTCCTTTCATATTTACACCTATTTGATATAGTTTGGTTCCCAGCCCACTTTGCCTCGTGTCCATCCCCAGTTCTCCAGTTGACGGATGTGGAGGGCATTCAGAAGGATAGAAGCAGTGCCCCCACAACACATGACCTGCTTGATTGGGGACATGAACTGCAGTAATTTATTTTTGGTACAAAATAAATATTTTCCCATATTAGTAGTGGATTTCTCCTGTGCTTCGGGGTCATAGAGAACGGTAGTAAATTCTTCCAAAGTTTTAATTGTTTTTTTTTTGTTATTCCTCTTTGTGAATTGGAGAGTTCAAGTAAAGCTGGTGTCACGTCCGGGCGTTTCATCCAAGCCATAAACGGCTTCTTGTTTCCAATAGAATTGAAGCAGGGCATTGTGGCACAACCTGTGTACCAATGAAAGCCTCGTAGGGCTTGTGAATTTTATTCTCCAAGTGCTAATACAATCAAATGGGTCGCTATATATCGACGCTTGGCCCCAACACCTGACAGATATCCTTCTTTCAGTCCGAGTTCTTTCAGAAAAAAAAACAAATAATATATGACCATCAGAACCTCAGTATCTCAAGACTGGACGAGGATGTTCTGGGCTCCATGCTCCACCATATCTTTCGCATGGAGGATGATTCGTCCGTCCGCCTCTTCTTGCGTAACTTGTATCCCATTAAAAGGGAAAGCGTTCTCAATCGTAGGAAAATGCGGCTGCAAGTCAACTTGTGAGACCATGAGGTGCTCATGCTTACGAAACAGCCTTCCCTGCACCCTACAGAGTTCTAACTGGCAAGAACACTGTAAAAATCGCAGCCGAGTATGTACATGCTTATTACCTATAAACATGACTGTCAGCGTTTTATTTTTAATGATTTTAACTAGATATTTTTTATAGCTCGACTGCAACAGGAGATCTGAGCGATGATGAGGCATTCCCCTTTGATGACTGATGACTTTTTACTTGTAAATACGTTTCAATAATCAACAATTTTTAGTTAAAAACAGGATTCAATGAATAAGTTTCAGTTTTGCACTTAGTTAACCTCTATCTGTTTATTCAAAATACAAAAAATTTCATAAAAAAGGCCTTTAATGGGTCTTTTTTGGTAATCTTCACTCAAAAGAATCTCAGAAACGCCACCTCAACTACGAAAATCGGTCAAAACCTTTGAATCTTGTCGGACGTTAAAGATATCATACAATTGTCCTATACATGATAAATGAAACATGCTTCCCACACAGAAATTAGCTTTGGATATTATTTTTGTCATATTCACCGTCGGAAACCTCGTAAACGTCACCCCAAACGTAAAAATCGCTCTAAAAACATATATTTCCTGAAATTTTCAAAATTGGCGCCATTTTCAATCCTAAGGGACGGAACTTCCGGCTCTGCGACTCAAATCACTCCAATAGGTCTAGGGAACATGTGTGCCAAGTGGCACAATTTTAATCCGAAATGCCGAATAATACCAATATTTATCACGAGCCGCTCCCACTATTCAGACGTAATCAAACTTGCTCCTCGGAATATTCACACAGGCACTATCTAGTCTGAAAATACGCTCACGAAGGCTCAATCATATTCCTCCATTCAGGATCAGAAAAAAATTTAAAAATCAGCGTCATATTCAAATTTGACATCTTGCATTTGTTAGAGAGATTGTTTCCAATGTGATCATTTAACAACGAAAAGTATAAACCAAACTTGATATCGATTTTCCCACTTTCAGTTGATTTAATTTGATGTGAATTATTTTACGACACCTGAGCTACCGTCGAATCGGACAACCACATCAACGGTTCGTTCAGTACTGCTTTGATTTAAGGATGAAGTTTTTGGAAACGAAAAATTGTCCATAAAGAAATGTATAATATATTTGGGGTATTTTTGAAATCCTTTGGGCAAATCTATGAGATACTGATAGTCCAGGATGTAACTGTTTTCTGTTTTATTAACGATCGTATATGATTTTTTATTGCTGTCTGCCTATCTGTTTGTCCGTGTGCACGATACAAATTTCCTTAAGATCGCTGTTGTTTGTTTTTCAACTACGTAGTTGTGAAAATGATGGATCCGCGAAGATCTCGAGGATCGTTCAGTATTCAGTCATATCGGATTTATATTACTGTAACATTCAGTAAATGCAATACTGATCAAGTTACGGTCCATTAGAAATAGTTCATCGAGCCCAAAAATAGAAACGTTCAATGTTATAAATAACAGTCGGTAAGGTGTATAGAAACTATTTTAAAGAAAAATCTTTAAAATTGTCACCCTTATAGGCTTTTCAAAATTAAATTGCCTATTACAGATTCTAGAAGAGTCTTGGAGTCCTTGTAAATTTTCTTTTGTTACTTCGCCCAATGAAAATAAAATGTGAATCATCTCATCACGATATAATAAATTTGTGAAATTTGAATTCGTAAATAGATAAAAGAGATAACAAAAATGATTACTTAGCATAGAAAGTATTTGCTCCTATTAAAAATCACCCCTGAAAATTCGTTTACGAAAGGTCACCCTTAGACGCCCTCAAATAAATGCATCCCGAAATATTCGCTTTCCAGAAAACTCCACGCGTGCGCTACCGTAATATTCCCCACATAAATATGCGCCTCATAACAACTTCTCGTAGCGGAAAATTTGTCGCAATTCCCTCAAATACAGATTTTCTCCGAAAATTCTCTTACAAAAGCTCGCCCTTATTCACCTCCAAGAAAACTCACCACGTGCAAAATTCAAGCAAAATTTAATTTACCCTTTTTCCTGTCTAGGAGCTCCCTAAAAAATGTTCTCGCAATATTCTAGTCACATGCTTTTAGAAATTTTCTTCAGACCATCTTAGAAATATGCCTCGAAGTGTACCTAGGAAATTTTATCAGAGCCTATAATAAAATTTCCCCGTAGGCTGCTTTATTAAAGCGTCCTAGTACTATTGAAAAATCTTTACTGTATTTAAGAAGTGTCCTTTTAGAGATTCCTAGAAACAGCTCCAAAAAACATCTTATTGGAGGTTAGTTGCTAGAGAGAATCTTTTTTGAAAATATTCTTAGGAATTGCCTTAAAAAAAATCCCAAAGAAATAATTAATAAATAGTTCGCGAACCATACTTTTTCAGTGGTACTAAATTAAAGTATTGCTATACAAAATGAGTATAACATAATTGTTTAGAATGCCTTTAATTGCTTTCAAATTGACACTCCTACATTTCGAATTATGAGCACATCCTAGCAAAGTACTTTGCATAAAATCGTAGTAAGTATCGTCATAATTCTCAGAAGTTTTCGCGAAGGAAATTG